TACCCCTTTGACTTGGCGGACCCCCAATTATTTTTCGCGAATTCCAGGTTGGAAACACTGATTTATAATATGTGTAATGGTTGGGGAAATAATTTGTGCAGCAATTTAAAAAAAAACGTATGGTGGTAAATTGTCATAGCCAGTTTCTATGTTTGTAGGGAGATTGCTTAGATAGTTAAGAACAAATTTACATGATACAGGTTCAAAATTAAAGACAATCCTGTGAGGGGACTTTTTGTTTTAATCTATGTAATTTTTCGGCTATCTATATCTGCTGCAAGGTTAGGGCCAATGCTCGAAAAATAATTATTTATCACATTGGTAATTTCTTTGGTATTAGTAGAAATGTTACCAGAATCAGAAATGTTTTGTATATGCGGATTATTCTTGTGTGTGAGGGATGTCTTATGGAATTTAAAGTTTTTTTTCACATTGTTTTTATTTTCATAATACTATCTTTGATGAAATCTGCCTTAATTTTTGAAATTAACTTATATTTTTCGACATTTACGGTATTTTTCCCATATTGTTTGGTCACATAATCTCTTTAATTTATCTCGGTTTTGCATCATTTCAATAATATCCTTACCAAGCCAGGGAGCTAAATTCGTTCGTATTCTATACTTCATAATAGGAAAATGCTTATCAAGGGCCTATGTTTTTAAGGTAAGTTTCAAGCAGTTGAGCAATTACCTCCACATTACCACTATGTTTACTCATAGGCCTATGTATATTTTGACGATCAGAAACATAAGCATTTTCATTACCATTTTAAAAATGTCTTACAATTTTGTACTTGTGCTTCTGTTTTTTAAATGTTTTGAGTTATGCTTGTTCCAACAATATGGCGTATAAACTAATATGAATAACGCCTTTAGAGGCTTTAGTAAAGAACATCACATCAATGAGCGTAGAGCTACCTTCGGTCAAGGGCGCAGTTCTCTTTTGAAAGGTGTATGTGGGGGAGGGGACACATTCCGTGAGACCAAACCCACCTCAACCCCACCATGGTTGGGGCTGAGGAAATAGTACCTCTAGATGATGGACGGAAATAACACTCTTTCATAGTAAAATTCATCATCATCTCATCACCGTTTTAGTCAAAATGAAGCGCCAACAAATTTCTCATATTTTATCTAGAATTTTCGGCAGTCATAGATATCTAAATACGGTAATCTGTGTGATGTACCTTAGAAAATAAAAATTTAAAACGAAATTTTTGTGTTCTAGACGCCCGAAAATAACCTCTGAGGCGGTTTGGGCAATAAAGTTTTTCTTCTCTTTTTTGACCTTCAAAAAGTGGTGGGGGGGGGGGGGGAGCCGGCCCCTAAATCCGCCTCTGTTGGTGGGTCTAAACACTGCCGTGAGAGTTATCAGACTCTGTAAGCAGTAATTATCAGCTTAAGATCAAGGAGGCCCTCTACATTAGTTGGGAACAACCTAACTTAAACAAGTAGCTAACACATTTTAATATTACCTGAATACTTTAGTTGCCCCATTGGTCCAAACTGCATTACCTTATTCTTTCATTTAACTCCTTAGCTATATATAAGCTTAGTGATTAGCAGTAGCTAATCTCACTTGATAATGATGGTTGAACCATCGAAACATGTCGTGGTTTAAAATTTGTATATTTATTAAATGTTTCTACCACTCTTTTAGGTTCTTTATAATGTAGGAGAGGTCCTGCTTACACTTACCACAACAATTTCTTGTTGTGGTTTCTTTTTCATGTGTAGCAGATGAGGATTTAGAGGGGGGGGGGGGGTTCGCAAAAAGTAGAAACAGTACGAACTACCAATTTCGCTGAAGCGAAAACTCCGATAGAAATGTGAATGCGCATGAGCATGAACGACGCTTTCGATTCGCGCGAATAAATTCGCCTAGTTGAAAACCGGCTCCCTGGAACGCCCTCAGGGGAGAATTCGCGAAGCTAATGGCTATGATCTGTTGGTTATGTAGATGAAAAGGCGGAAAACCGATCTGTGTCTTTCGTTTAAGACGCAACTCAGAGCTGCAATTTGCAGTGTGGGGACGTTTATTATTGAGATTTTCTATTAAATTTATACAGTAAAACATATTAATTTGTTGTGACGTCACTTTTATGACGTGTTCATTGGGTTTGACCATAGAGGAATTAGTCTAAACCAAGGAGGTATTATATTACTACAATATCTCTGTGCCTACAATTCCTCCATGGTTTGAATAGGTGTGTGATTGTTCACAATATAAAAGCCTGTCTCTTATACACATCTTTTCTATGTTTGTAGGGAGATTGCTTAGATAGTTAAGAACAAATTTACATGATACAGGTTCAAAATTAAAGACAATCCTGTGAGGGGACTTTTTGTTTTAATCTATGTAATTTTTCGGCTATCTATATCTGCTGCAAGGTTAGGGCCAATGCTCGAAAAATAATTATTTATCACATTGGTAATTTCTTTGGTATTAGTAGAAATGTTACGAGCATCAGTAATGTTTTGTATATGCTGATTATTCTTGTGTGTGAGGTATGTCTTATGGAATTTAAAGTTTTTTTTAACATTGTTTTTATTTTCATAATACTATCTTTGATGAAATCTGCCTTAATTTTTGAAATTAACTTATTACATACATTTTTCGACATTTACGGTATTTTTCCCATATTGTTTGGTCACATAATCTCTTTAATTTATCTCGGTTTTGCATCATTTCAATAATATCCTTACAAAGCCAGGGAGCTAATTTCGTTCGTATTCTATACTTCATAATAGGAAAATGCTTATCAAGGGCCTATGTCTTTAAGGTAAGTTTCAAGCAGTGGAGCAATTACCTCCACATTACCACTATGTTCACTCATAGGCTTATGTATATTTTGACGATCAGAAACATAAGCATTTTCATTAACATTTTTAAAATGTCTTACAATGTTGTACTTGTGCTTCTGTTTTTTAAATGTTTTGAGTTATGCTTGTTCCAACAATATGGCGTATAAACTAATATGAATAACGCCTTTAGTTTAGAACATCACATCAATGAGCGTAGAGCTATCTTCGGTCAAGGGCGCAGTTCTCTTTTGAAAGGTGTATGTGGGGGAGGGGACACATTCCGTGAGACCAAACCCACCTCAACCCCACCATGGTTGGGGCTTAGGAAATAGTACCTCTAGATGATGGACGGAAATAACACTCTTGCATAGTAAAATTCATCATCATCTCATCACCGTTTTAGTCAAAATGAAGCGCCAACAAATTTCTCCTATTTTATCTAGAATTTTCGGCAGTCATAGATATCTAAATACGGTAATCTGTGTGATGTACCATAGAAAATAAAAATTTAAAACGAAATTTTTGTGTTCTAGACGCCCGAAAATAACCTCTGAGGCGGTTTGGGCAATAAAGTTTTTCTTCTCTTTTTTGACCTTCAAAAAGTGGGGGGGGGGGGGGGAGCCGGCCCCTAAATCCGCCTCTGTTGGTGGGTCTAAACACTGCCGTGAGAGTTATCAGCAAACGGTTGTTTTAGACTCTGTAAGCAGTAATTATCAGCTTAAGATCAAGGAGGCCCTCTACATTAGTTGGGAACAACCTAACTTAAACAAGTAGCTAACACATTTTAATATTACCTGAACACTTTAGTTGCCCCATTGGTCCAAACTGCATTACCTTATTCTTTCATTTAACTCCTTAGCTATATATAAGCTTAGTGATTAGCAGTAGCTAATCTCACTTGATAATGATGGTTGAACCATCGAAACATGTCGTGGTTTAAAATTTGTATATTTATTAAATGTTTCTACCACTCTTTTAGGTTCTTTATAATGTAGGAGAGGTCCTGGTTACACTTACCACAACAATTTCTTGTTGTGGTTTCTTTTTCATGTGTAGCAGGTGAGGAT